TTTTTATTGTTCGGTAGTACATTGGGCAGCGGAGAGAATGGAATAGTTTTGTTTGTTTTTTCTTTTTGATCTTTGTCGCGTGTCGCAATACTGTTGCTGTACATTACTAACTGAAGGTAGGTTGTGTCTTTTACAGGAGTAAAAGATAATTTTCAGAATTACCATGAAACTCAGATGCTTCTGTTTTCAATGAACTAATCGCTGATGACGAAAATATTCTCTGTATTCCAAACACTACGTAAATATAGCGTTGGGCAACGGACCGCATTGGGACTAATGAAAAGTTTGGACGATAGTGGAGCTAATGTCATATCTGTGAATACTGGAACGGATTCGAAAAGTATTATACAGCTGAGGGACGTTGGTGGTAAGAAAATATTTTTTTTCTTTTCGAACTCTAAATGTTGTATGATAAGTAGTTTTTTTCCTTTAATTTTAATTTCTTGTGGTTTATACATACCTTTTAAACGTTTTTCAGTCAGATAATGTGGATGTGTCCTTCTTTGTTGATTACAGAGTTGATATAGAAAAATGATGCAGGTTTCAGAATAATTTCGGAGTTTAATATATATTTATTCTTGGAGAAAGATTTTTCTTTTTACAATAAGTCTTATGAATCCTTACTATTCTTACTTAACACTATGTCGAGACATGAGAGAGAAACGGCACAATGGCATCTGCGCGCAACGGCTCATATGGATTCAGAGGTCTGTCTGATTCTACGTCGTCGTGGCCAAACTTCGCGAACGAAGACATGTGAAAGGATGTATGCCCACATGTTGTAAGCGCGCTGATGATTGAAAAAGCCAATGCGGGATAGGTAACTCCATTTGTAAAAAACATAGCGGAAAGTATTCTTAGGCAGTATTGGTGATCACAGTTTTTTCTGCGTTTTTTTTTTTTGTTTTCTCTTCGGAACTATTTCTGCGTGTATTCTCAAAGAAAGCAACAGCGTTATGGATGATGTGTCTATAACGAAATCTATCGAGGCGGAAGTGGATCACTGATGGTGATATGCACACCTGGCATATTATTTCAGGGAGTCCTTGTATCTTCACTTTGGGGTTTTTTTGCGGAAGTCGGTGGCGAGTTCACATTAAAACATAATCTCAACGAGACGGTAATCCTTCATCCTGGAAACGTGCCCAGTCCAGCTTAGCTATATCTTCAAAACAATATAAACATGGCCTCAGTACTGGTGATCCCTGCCTGTTCGAGAATAAAGACATTAATCATGTAATCAGACAAGTGGATGTTTAGGATTGTACGGAGGAGCGCTGGTGGAAGCGTTCGAGGAGTGCAGGTGTTTGCGTTAAATGACGCATGATTCAGATTCATACAAGAGAATAGAGAGCAAAAAAAAATAAGTGAATGGCTTTATAGACACTAATCTGTGTACTGTCTAATCATTGTAATGCCTACCAAGTAATTGCGCAGTTTGAGTTAACCTTCTCCCTTTCTTCATATAGTTGGAACAATATAAGAACAGCGAAGGAAGTGGGAACTATCAATTAGTTGTCGATGTTTTATGAGTTTCAGGCGAACAATATTAAATTATCTTCTTTTATGTAGTAAGTGTTTTCTATCGAATATATTTTGCGACAAGAAGCCTGGAGACTTTTGAGGAAAACAAGAGATACAGTGTTAATTTAAAACATCTTCCAGCGAGAAAAGTACGATTGAAATACAACGGAGTTTTGCCACAAAAAGCAATTGTTGGCCTATGGAATGCACTCACATCATGTGCTAGAAACCCGAAAATTCTACAGTTTCAAGCTGATCAGGTGCGATATTTTTCTTTCAATTGTTTGAATGTTCAGATTCATTTTTGTCAGTTATTTGTGAATCTCAGTCGTTCATCATTCGTTCAATTATACAAATTCACACAGCATAATAAAATTTCATGAATTTTTGAATCTAACTTTAAATGACTACTTTGTGTATATAGGTAGAATATTCTACAAAAGGAAGTGCTGAAAAAAAAGTTACCGATCGACAGTGATGTTTTCATCGATTTAAATAACGAAATTCATGCATGATTAAATGTTGTCGTTTAATTAAAGCCCGTCAAAATCGCAAATTAAATTTTCTTAAACCATCACTGATACTACGTATAAATCAGCAGTTCATATGTGATTATGCTTTCTCTACTAATCACCAGTTATCGTTTTTTACTTTTATATTATAAATTAATATACATTCGTTTTATTCAAAGATACACAAAATGTTGAGTAATTTTGTTAATTACAAGTGTTTATGGATGTTAGTTATCTTTTAAATTGCAGTCGTTTTTGTCATTATGCTTTTGGACTTGGCAAAGTGGGAAAGTCCTACAATTGTTGTGGTCAGTAATGCTAAATTGCAATCGTTTAGCATATTTAGCTGAAAGAAAAGCTGAGTCAACGGCAGTTTCCAGCATCACCAAAGGAGGTACAAGAAGCGCGTTATGAAATTAAGAAAATGTTGGAAGCCGAAGGTGCATTTCCGGATCGCAATGCTGTCGGTCAAAAAGTTGTTAGTTTCAACTCTATGGTCTTTTTTCTCTGAAATCAAGCCTAACTTCTATTTGCATTAAAACCAGATTGAATCCATGGGAATTCTTTAACCTGTTTTCATATCTGTGTTTGCTACAATGCATTGTACCTGCAACAAGTGTTTGAAATTTAAAATCCAGATTAGATTTGATTCAATTGGTTCATGAAGTTTAATTTAGCTGGAAGCATTTGATTTGGAAGTAAAAAAGAAAGTAGATAAATTGTTGCGTCATACGAAGTATAACTGGAAACCACTGGGTTTTAAAACGCGTGAACATGCTGCAGCTTATACCTTAGCCAGGTAAATTTTTTTTTTTCAATTTTGCGCAAAAAACATCTCAGTCAGATCACGGTTTAATTTTGCGCAGGGTATCGCGAATTGATTTTGTTGTGATTGTGGTGGATTTTTTTTTTTTTCTGAATCGTGGAGTGTGATGTCGATCAATAGCCAAAATATCACCAGTGTTGTCGATCGGATGTCTAAGATCCGCTGGACTGATTTAGTTTGGGTTCTGTTGTATTGTACTGGGTTGAGTTGAATTGGGTCAGGCTGAGTTACGTTGAGTTGATTTGGGTTGCGAAAGGCTGAGTTGAGTTGATTTGGGTTGCGCTGAGTGGAAATGAAGTGTATTGAGTCCATACCGAATTGTAAAACCTTTATTGACCATAATGCATTAGCCGGTTTACAATAGGGTTTATATGCATTAGCATGTAAATTCGACATCCTTTGTCATTAAAATAAAAATGTGAATTTCCGTTAGACAAAGATAACAAAAGAAACGTATGGGAGATAATTTTAAAGAATGTAAATTGGTTAAATGATTTACACTATTGTAAACATTTGTTTACAAGAAATTTATCTGATTATTTATTTGTGTTTTGGGGCATGGTTGGAGTCTCGCGAATCGGAATTCGCGACAGTGATTAGTCAATGATCAGGAACAAGCAGGAACTTTAAGGGGTTGGCTTGTAGTAAGGTTATTTGGCTTTGGTTATATTGTGTTATAATTGCACCAAATATTGTTGCGGAGTGAAGAGTTTGAAAGGTTTCGCTGTGAGTTATAGGTACACAAGAAATTTTAACGAAGGCTTATCTTATCACGGTGGAAGTTCGTAAGAGCGTCAGTTATACCACGAAAATGACCCAAGAGATAGGATTATTAACTTTTATTAAAATATATAAAACTGATGAATAAGACCAATTGAAAAACCAACAGAAAGGAGCAGAATATCGATGTGGAGAGCAGTTTAATCGAGGAGGGATATAACTGTCTTGTTGATACAGGTGTAAAGTCACTTTTCCTATCTTACAAGGAGCTGTATATATGAGTTAATGGAGTGGGAGTGGTTTACATAAAACGTTAAAAAAGGGCGTCCTTTTAGATACAAAGGAAACTGTAAAGATCCAATTACATAAGCATTGTAGCAAGATCAGATGGGAAGGTTAGCATGTAAATTCGACATCCTTTGTCATTAAAATAAAGATGTGAATTTCCGTTAGACAAAGATAACAAAAGAAACGTATCGAAAATAATTTTAAAGGATGTAAATTGGTTAAATAATACATGCTATTGTCAACATTTACTTACAATTTGGATAAGGAATTTTATTATTTATTTGGAATTTCGCGATATTGAAATTCGCGATACAGGGAATGTTTATTTTATCTAGCCTCCAATTAGGTTTTTATTTCTATTTTTTCCGAAGTACTAGCATTCGTTTTTGCTGTCGAAATTGCCTAAAATACATTAAGTAGTTTTCAGTTAATCATTGACGTCTTTCATTTCATCCGAAGGTAATTATCATCCTGCTCAATTGTTGTTGACTACTTTCTGATGCGGAACGATATAATATGATTTGAATTACCGAAATTTGTTTCAGTGCTCTGGTTCTTATGTTTTTTCACTCTAATATGACCTCATTTGAAAATTTCTTATAACTACTCAAAAATCATAGTGAGAAAGCAGTCAGTATGTACGAAGTTCTACTATCTCGCAGTTTTCAGGTTTGCACCTAATTATGCAGAAGTTCGTTTTGTATTACAAGAATTCATGAATAATGGATACATCCCAGAAACAGTTCTGGACTATGGAAGTGGTTCTGGCGCTGCATTTTGGGCTGCATTTGAACAGTGGGGAGAGCGAGTCAAAAGTTATCAGTTGATCGATTCAAATGAAGAAATAAGTCAGTTTTGCATGGACATTTTAAGGGTATGTTTGTTATTTTTTCTTTTTTTTGTTTTTGTAGTTTCACAGTTCCTTAAATTTTCCTTTATCACATTAAGGAATAATTGCACTAACTTATATTTCATTATGTTCTCTACAAGGTTTCCTGTGATAGGATTCAAAAAGCTATATGTATAGCGTCGATAGACTCTTCATTTATTTTTAGGGCAGTGGCGAAAACAATGGGCATCCGTTCGTGCATCCAAATGTTAGCTTCCGAAAATTTTTGTCGCCATCTTCAAATAACAATTTTGATGTGATAATCGTACATCGTCTTTTTGCTGAATTGGCTTCCGAAGAATTACGCACTGAGTTGCTAATAGATTTATGGAAGCGAGCGAACAAGTGAGTCAGTTTAACTCTTGAATCGTTTTTCTCTTTCGAATGAATAGTTTTAATGTTAAAAATAAGAGAATCTAGAAATTGTTTTAAAAAATTTTTGGAAGTTACTGGACGTTCAAAATCTTTTGGAAAGTCTGTTGGGTAACTTTCCCTAAATTTTCTCCTTTTTTCAAGGTATTTGGTATTAATCGATGGGAGCTGTAAAGGTGGCTATGATGCTTTGATGGAAGCTAGAGACTACATCCTTATGGGTGGCTGTGAACTGCATCGAGAACAAACTCGACAAGTCCTGATGAAAGCAGGAGTATTGAATGACGAAGCAGAATGTATCTTGACTGATCAGCAGTTATCCAACTACATGCGTTATAATCTTATTAAAAATATGGTACGTTGTAGTTTTGAGATCAGAAGAACGGTGTAGTACTCCAGTGCTTCAGGACTGTGTGAGCTTATGTACAACGGCCCAACACATTTTTTAGTCTTTCGGCAGCTTACTTGAATTTTATTTTTAGGTAACAAGTCGACTATAATATTACTTTGTCTTGTTTGCTTATCAAGTTGTTATCTTCACAGGTTCATGGTTTCAATTTCCAAGGAAGGATTTTTTTCAAATTAATTTGGTTTCAGCTTCCACCAGGCACAGTTTTGCCGACCAGATTGGAGCCCGGTTATGTGTTTGCCCCATGCCCACATGACCAAGGATGCCCAAAAAGTGTGCGAAGAGAAAAGTTGGTTACGATTAATGTTAGAAATTTGATGTCCACTTCAATTCAATTAGCAACTTTCTGATTTTTCATTTTCCAATATATTTAATAAGTGAAAAGTTCCCTATTCCAGGGACGTATGCAGTTTCTCAACTCAGTGGAATGTGTTGCGAGCTGATGGGCGGAAGCAGATTTTTAATACCGAGAGAGGTTCATTCACATATGTTATTATGGCCAAAGGGACAAGATCTCACCATATAAATGAAAGCAGGCTTCTGACGGTTTGTTTATTCTAAACTAAAATAGAAAGGTGTTTCCCTATTAAAATTAAAATAAAACGATGAATCACTCCTCTTATTCTGACAACTCTTTTCAAAACTGACCGAAGTAAACATAATCTTAAATACAGTTTTTTGAAAATATATTTTTGCACATTAAAATTGATAGGCATATCGCGTGTTTTTGGCAGACTCCTCTCTGAAGTTCATCTTTGGCCTTTTTTAACTTCAGCTACACCATGGCGGAGGACATGTATGCTGCACCGTTTGTACACCATTTTGCGGAATACAGCGTTTTACAGTCTCCAGATGTATGGGCAAAATTTATAAATTGGTCAAAAATGTCAAGGTCGGTCGAGTGCTACCAGCTGAGGTTACTTTTACGCAGTTTTTTCTCGATCCTGTTCAAGTGAGTATACATCTTATGCTTAATGAAAATGAGTGTCGGAGTAAAGCATCTGTTTTTCGTGTCCATGCATTGATAACGTTTCATAAGGTTTCGAAAGTAATTAAATGAATAGTTTGCAAATTTGTTAGATACAAATGAAAACCTACAGTCCTTGCATTTAATAGAATTATCGAGTGTTTTGTTTAGCTGAGAACTGTAGGATCTGATTCGGAGCTCGATGTGTATGAAGAAGCAGTGGAGGAATTTACAAAGGAAAAGCGTGCCAAGAATATGTTGAAAAAAATCTTTGTACAGCTAATTGAGTTTTTTAATTATGCATTCTTGTTATTACCCACCTACTGTGGATATTTTCTTTGTATTATCGTTCAAGCTTTTTTTGTGTTATCTGTACTTACTGTTCATAGCAAAATACTTGTGTTGTAAAACAGCTGTACAATGCGTTGATATGCTAATAAATGGTAAAGGTAAGGAAAATAGATCACGTTTGTTTTACCTTTAAGGTGTTTTCAGGCGTTTTCCGCTTCTGCTGTAACATGGCAAAAAAGCGAGCATCGTTAAACATGAAAATGTTTTTATTTAACATTAGTTATGATTGTCTAATAGTTTTCAGGGTAATTTTTTGAAAAAAAAGAAACGACCGCGTTGGGCAGAAGTGAAATAATATCGCTAAACTAAATGAGATAAGGAAGATCATGCTGAAAAAGTATATAGTTAATATCAAGTTACGGGACGATATAGCGTGATTCAGAAGTCTAAGTAAAAGGTCGAGGTGAATGCAATAAATCTTCGAATTATTTGTAGTGATGCGGTTAAATCACTTTTGATATGTTTTCTATATTGGTTTTCCTGATTCAATTTTAATGCCGGTTGGAACTTTTGAAACTCGAGAGTGCTATTAAATTGCTTAAGAGTAGAGATTTACCACAGTGACATTCAAATGCTTATGATGCAAGAATAAAATTGAATAATATACATAAAATAAAATTAAGTGCTTATAGGTGTGTCGTACATAATGTAGTACAAAGAATCAGGTTCTAAGCTATTTTCTGAAAAGTTTTGGACAATGCATAAGTAATGACCATTGAAAGGAAGAAGATAAATAAGGGAAAATCGGGGGACAAACGATGGTGTGCTGACAGTGGAAGTAGAACTAAATGGTAGATAAAAGAGCCGATTGTTGTTGTCCTCATGCCCATATCTAAAAAAAACGAGGCTTAAATCATGTGGCTTAGATAATATGATATGGCAGGTGCAGATTGGCATTCTTGGTGTTGCAAGCATTCCAATGAAGTAAACCGTCTAACTTCGGGCTGTAATTGATGAAACCAAACTCCATTTTACTAATGTATTGAAAAGATTTTCGGTATATAAAATAAGACTTTAGAAATAAAGACTTGCACGAATGGTGCAATCCCAGCTTGCAGTGCATATTGCGGTTCCATCTGGACTTGTTCGTAGACACGAAATCCTATTTTCGTGACCGTATAGAACCGAATGGCGTACACATTTTAGTGAGTCCCATACACCAACGCGATAATCACCGTAACCGGCAAAAAGTATGCGACCTACAAACTTCACTGTCAAATGTTCAGTGTTCAGCCTCACTTATCAGAAAAACACGGCAAAGTCATAGACTTAAGAGATCTTCGTGGACATGACACTTTTTGAATCGTGATTCCTCTAGCGATCCGCTTTAAAGATAGTAACTACCAAGATAATTTACTCACCGCTCAAACTGAAGTCGACACCGTTTACTGGGAACAAAACGGATTCTTTTTCATAAACACACACTTGTCGATCAGCGCGTAAATCAAACAACCGGCACTAAAGAGTAAAAAGATTTTACAAGGTGAAATTAATTACATAAGATTTCGAAGCACACTTCAACAAATCCAGTGTGGATTTTTGCAATCAAAAAAGAAATTGACATAATACGAAAAACGAAATCAATGAAAAACCAACCGAAGCATCGTCTGAGCCCGTAGCAAGCGCATCACCATTTGGATGAAACCTAACTGTATTGATGTCTGCTTCATGTCCTTCGAAACTCTGTACACACTGCCCGGTTCTTATATCCCAAACTAATGCATGCATATCTGCTCCCTTAAAATCATAATTTTAATTCGAAACTCCTAGAAAAAATGTTGTAACATCAATGAGGAACAAACGATCTTAGCATACAGACCGTTGAACCAATCTACCGATTTATTGATTTACTCCAAAAGTAGGTCTGTTGGAAGAGTTCTTTTCAGAACATTTTTCAAATGTAAACGGAATGAATAATACAACAGAAATGAAATTTACCCCAGAAATAAAAATGTTGCCAGTATCGCTTTTTGGTACATCAACTGCGAAAACATCACCAATGTGACCATGAAAATTTTGAATCATCTGGCCACTCTCCACATCCCATATGGCACATGTTGAGTCACCGCTACCAGTCAGAAGCTGTAAAGTAGTTATCTTAATATTCCGCCTTTATTTTGGAAAATAAGAGCTGTAACTGTTTTTTAAAGGGAAGGGGGTGTTATATATAGCACGAAAGGAAAAGTTTTTGTTTTTATTTTTCTTTAAGTTTTTGTTTTGGAGTACATGAAATGAAAAATAACTCACTAAATTATCAGATCTAAGGAAGGTACAACATGACATATAGCTTGTGTGCGTCGCAACAGATCGCTTTTTTTGTAAGATGTCGTCTTCAAAACTCAACGGCACCACCGAACACTTATTATCCAAACCTCTAAAATCAGCATGCAATAGTTTGCAAAATAATAGTTTCGTCATACAATCACTTTGAATTTTTTAAAATGATAGCTTCCTTATATCACTTTTGACGATATGGAGAAACAATGGAATTCAAAGGAAAAATATCCCAGAAAATTAAAATACCCGCAGGCAATCATTTGTGCACTAGGAGAGTAAGCACAAGCCATCACCCATGTTGTTGGCATAGTTAGCGCATGTTCCTTATTCGTTGTAAAACCATCCCAGACGATTACTTTTCCATCCTGAACAACCAAATTTAAATGTTACGCAGACGAACTTATTGTTTAGTGGCAATTTCTGGTCCGAGGTTTTGGCGTGAAATTACACATTAGTATCTTGACTCAAACGAATATTTTTCTTTTTAAGTGTGAATAAACAATAACAGTAAATTGTTCTTTTGTTGCTTTCTTTGAGTTACAAATGGAGGGAGATCAAGCACGACAGTACAGAAGGCTCCCCTAAATCCAACAACTGACGTGAATAAGATACCAATTATCGTTTGTTATTATTTTCATCCAAGTATAACCTTTGTAGAAATCAATTTTTTTGAATTCAACAAAAATATGAAACGAACTAAGAAATTTGCCTTTGTATGCAAAAGTGATAGAAACTATTAATGTTTGAATTGAGTTGGCTGGTATGGATTTCATTTTTTGGCACTAACAACTGATGCGTGTTTTATATACATATGAAAAAAATCTTTCAGATCTGAGATGAATATCATGGCGTACTCAAAAAGAAATGAAATGTGACGCTTAAAAATTATCGTTCTTCAGTGAATTCTAGTAAGAGCATCATCGAATCGATCGAAGAAAAACGCGGAAAATATGGAAAAATTGTCGAAAGTTTACAATTAGTGAGATAGTTAGGGCTAAGAATTTAGGGTTTAGAATTAGGAAAATCAAATTGAATATGTCAAATCTTCCATTAAAAATGTATTATTATTCTGGAAACAAAAACCTGTGAAGAAGAAACAATATGTCGTTTATCTAAGGACCAATCCATGCAGAGTACTTTCCCAGCATGTCCTTTCAATATACGACGTTGCTTAATGCTTAGCTGTGTTAATGGTTCGAGAATTTCAGCTGCTTGTTCAACTGAAGCAAATATATCCCGTAGATTTTAATCATGAATTACTGACAACACGGCAAAAACCAAAACAACTAACTAGTATTGTTGGTGATTTAACGTTTGCTTTCAATGGGGGTATTAAAGAATGAAAGTTAAAGTGCCACAAGTCAAAATTTTTTGATATCGTAGAAAAACTGTTTCAAAAATAATGCGAATGAAAACGATTTGAATTGAACTGCATTAGTAAGACTTACTCGAAACATCGTTCAGTTTCCTTCGTTCCGCTTCCAATCTTCTCCGGAGATCTTCTGCCTCACGAGCCAGTACATCGACGATGTCTGAACTTCTAAACTAACAAAAAAGCTATGAGAAATGCTTTGTGAGTTAATGAATGCATCAACAAAAAATTCAACGTAAAAACAGTCGGAAAGTAACGTTACAAATATTTCAACCTTGTTCCCGTCTCTACACCAATAGCTTGCACGGATGCAATGATTTTTGCAGTAGACGGCTCATCTGTAATCTCTTTCGCTTTCACTAAAAAGGAAACAAATTAAGATATCATCCATTTAAAAGATTATCATTTCTTACGCGCCCCTTATCAAGGAACGAATCCATCAACTTTTTCGGAATGAATAATCGCAAATACTTGTCTCGAAATGGAATCTCAAATCTGTATCTTTTCCAAGCTCCCTTTTTGTTCACTTTTATGGCATTTAAACAAAATAAGAACGGGACCTGGAGGACTATGTTCATCGCTCATCTCGATAGAACAGAATTGAAGGCTAAGAGGACAATCACATGTCTGGTACTTTTTTTTCCTGAAAAATTAAGTAAAAAGGAGAACTCAATCCAAGTAAACACATTTCCAATAGTTTCTCATAAGTTAACACGACGCCCGAAATCAATAAAAACGGTCAGCAAAAAAAGACTCTTGCAAAAGCAAACTGAAAAATCCAAGCCAAGCCAAGCCAATGGATCCATTCTGCCAGGCTATAGCTAGGAACTTATCCACCCACCTCATTACCCATCGAACCAAGTAGCACACGATGACTACATTGTTATTTTGAAAAAGAAAAAATCACCCCTTAATTCATACTCTTTATTGCATATTTTAACCTGATCTTTCGTCCATTTAAACTTTCTAGAGGAATCAAAAGAAAAATCCATTTCCAAAGGGAAAACCCATACCCATGCCTCTGTAATCTTTTTTTTTTCCATAGTACAGTAAATGAACAAACTTTCGTCAGTTATAAGAGATGTAAATGATGCAATGATTTTTCTAGTAGATGGATCGCCGACCAGTTGTGGCATGCCTTTTATCCCTCCTGAACCTCTGTGCTTTCGTTATAAGTATAGTACACCTCTTTTTTATGCATAATCCCGTAAGTAAAATGTTCTTGAACTACCATTATGCCGGCCTAATCTATGATAACTATAGCTCACACATGGAATGGTACCCTCCATCTCAACAGTTCAGCAAAAACTATACTAGGTCCGCAAAGTTTCGTCATAAGAATCACCAGCCTTAGGTCTCCGTAAAGGTGAGAAAATGCGACGATGAGTACTAAGTCAACGAACGAATCTTCCACATCATCATCACCAAATATTTTCAAATCTTGCCACTGAAACG